TACTTTTACCATTTTTTTCTCCCCTCCTTTTTCTCCTTATAGTGAGAACTATAAGCTAGGAAAGGGCAAAGAACTTCCACTACCGGTTACAGTATGTTTACCTGATCTAGGAATAGTTCAAATAACTCACAGAAGACATATTTTTCATACATTTTACTCTAGTAGGAGTAGCGATACTTTCTAAGAATATTAACTCAAGTAAAACTAAGAAGTAGGACACAGTAAAACTACTCCCAAAAGTGGATTTTCTTTCAAAGTTTTACTCAAGTAAATGGAACTGAGTTTATGCTATTTACTACCCATGCTTTACTTTCCCAAATGGAAAAGCCTTGTCAGCTCAGCTACACAACTTATGTTATGATTTTGCTAATCATGTTTTCCTGTATTTCTGTTTGAAAAGGAAAATAAAAACATCCAAAATGTCCCGCTGCTGTTTTGCTTTCAGTAAGAAAAAGCTATAAATGCAGCACTTTGAGGCAACATGTGAATCTACCGGCTTTGACCTCCATAAGGCCGGTAAGAGCCTAGATTCATTATAATAAATGTCAGCAGAGCTTCAGGGATTAGCAGAGAGGGAGGGGAATGTCTTGCAAGACGAGGTGCAGCAGTAGGGGTGAAGGATGGAGACTCATCTGCCACACAGATGGATCCTGGCAGGGAGAGGATGTCGTCCATCAGCCCTCCCACCTCGCTGCCCACCCCTCCTCCTTCCTATAGCATGCTAGCCTGTTGGTGGAAGGGAAACACAGGAACGTGGAATTCAACATGACAATTAAAGCAGAGGCTCTAAGAAGACCTAAATCTAATAAATGATGAACCATCATCCTTTGTACGCGATTATCAAGCAGCTTTAGCAGAACTGCTTTTTTCTGCTTAATGAAACGTAATTCCTCTTTGCTTTAGTTTTTATTCCCAAACCTCTAAACAATTAACCTATAAATTCTCTTTGCTTATATCTTTTTTCTAGGCTTGGCCCTCATTATGTGGAATGGTCTCTACACGGCAGAAAAGGTCATCATCCAGTGGACGCTGCTCAGTGAAGCCTGCTACTTTGCTGTCCAGTTTCTGGGTAATTAACTTATTCCACGTGTTAACGTCTGGATTCTTCTGTCACTATCAGACACGCTACTGCAAACCACTCTTTTTATTTTGCTTTGATAGACATTAGTACAAACCCCGTTCAGTGGGGTTTATCAGTTTTGGATATGCAGACAGTGCCCTCTGGTGTTAAACTTGGAGAATCACAGCTTTGAATCATTATTTTTTTTAAGTCAGGTTTGATTTAAAGTTTCTTTCATGAGGGCAGCTGTACATCACTAACCATGTAATAAGATGGTAATAATAAGTCATAAATAACCTTCATTAAATGTAATATTCAATTATTCATCTTAAAACATGTTTTTAAAATGCTCGTTACAAAATTTAATGTCATATTAAATAATAAAAATGGCATTTATTAAATTATTAAATGTCATAGAGGGAAATTACTATATGTATTTTTATCAATCTCCAGTTTGTGTTATTTTTATGTTCAGAAATGTTTGGATCCACTGATGTAGAACATGTTAAAATCTTAGATAATCTCTGCTGTAATATGCTGGTAACAGCAGAAACAAGCGAATAAAGAAGGGCGGCTCTGTTTCAGGGAACTTCTCTAGAATCTCTGGAGATGATTTAACAAAGGAAAGATATTTATAATGTAAGAAACATTATGGGCAGCCCAGAGCATCGTCTTTAGAGGACTGATACCACAACAGAGGCTCTTCAGTGAGAGGCTTCTCTAGAAGCAGTGGGTGAGAGGCAGGACATCCTTCCTGGCTGCCGCCTTTTAGACTCTACAACAATTCACTGAAGAAAATCCCTACAAGATTTTAGAATTTATTTTCCCTTCAGGATTTGTAAATTATTTTAAAATGAATTGAATTAATGGGAAATTACAAGTCTAATGTGTTTATAAAGCTAATTTAAGAACAATAAAAGGCAAAAGCAGAGATTAAAAGTACATGAAGCCAATCAACCTAAGAACATCATCAACGGCTTGTCATGATTTTATCTAAAGCTCTGACCCACTAGCCTCATGAGACCATCCTGATCTCGCGAGCTTTCAAGGTTTCACTCGCAGATCAGTCTGGA